CCATGAATTAGGATGGACGTCACTGAATCAAAAAGCCCTAATTTTGTTGCTCAAGAATACTGTCTTAGTTTTGCATAAATTGGAGTTTGAGTAGCCTTCTTTCGATCCGATTTGGGAGCAGTTATGTGATGAATTTGAGAAGAGGAAGGCACCAGCTTTAAGGTCAAAGCTTTTTCAAGATGGGGAGCCTGATACAACCCTATATTGCTTCATTTCCAAGCTAGAATTACTTGTCCAATAAGCTTCCCCAACTCATTTGAACAATCTGCATTTTTGGCTAAGTATATTGATGAGTTCAGGTGGTCTACTTTGGGAGCTTGGTTCTTCCAATTGGGTTCATGGAAATGCGAGTTTGAGATCTTGTTTTGAATCTAGAGTTCTCCTCTACAAGCTGGGCTGTCTGGGATCTCAAGGAGGAACTCAGAAGACCATTTTCAAGGATCGACAAAATGCTTCCTCAACACAGGAAAACTGTCAGAATCTGCCTAAGTATAAAACTATATTCAGGAAGCCTACTTTGAAGCTCTATTCCAATAAGATGATTTCGAATCAAGATAGGAGCTTCACACTACATGAAAGTATGCATGTTAATCTACATAGAAGAGCCATAGGATGATTTATTTTGTACCTGGAAGTCATTGATCGAAAGCCTCAAAATTGCCTCAAAGGTTGTTTAGTGACTTGGAGCTGAAGGCAGAATTCTTTCCTTGTTTGATTTGGATTTTTATTCCTTTTACGTTTAAGCATAATTTTTTGGAGTTCTATTGGAATTAGGAGGTTTCTTAGTCGTTGTTAACCTAGCTAGCTATTTAAGTACTCTTCAATTGTGTTGTAATTCATCATTGAAGTTTAATAAAAGAACCCTAGTTCATAGAATTTTCGTACTCTTGAATTGACCTTTTTGAGTGGATTGAATTCTAGCAACGAGCGAGCTCATCATCGATTGATTCACCACATCAATCGTGGACGAGTTGTTACCCTATTTGGATCGACCCTCTTCCTCAATTTGGTGTTGAAATTGCACCTTACAACTCAATCCTTACCCTGCTTCTTCCTTTTCACATTTGTTTCCATTCATCTAGCTTGAAGGATTGGTGTTTGCATGCTCTGATCATCAAGATTCGAGGGCTGGAGCTTATCAGTGACTTTTGTGCTCTGAACTGTGACTTGTGCAACTTCTTCACTTTGTCCTCGTTTTGACTCTAAACTTCTTCATTTCACGCTAGGTTGTGCTTGGTTTTGACTTCTGAAACTTCGTTCCTTTCACTATATTCACTTGCTAGGACCTGAATATTCTAAACCAAGCACAACCTAGCATGAAATGGGCTAAAGAACAACAAATATCAAGCCAAACGATCAAGGAAAGGGGGTGTGAACAAGTATAATTAAGCTCGAATCGAGCGACTCTTGGGAAAGCAGAACCTCACTATGAGAAACCTAGGGGTCGTTTGCATGAATCATTTGCAAAATGAGTCATTAGCCTAAATGTAAGCATTTGAGAAATGTAGACATTCCAGAATGTAGGCACTACAAATGCATTGTCTGTGTTAAAAGGTTTTAGATGAGTCATTTTCAAATTATTCATTTGTATAATTTTACCATTTTCCCTTATATTTAATATGTTCCCTTATTTTGTTTCCTATTCTAATAAAAAAAACTCCCACATAAACAAAAATCTTTTTGCAACCAACAAACCATATTATTTGGGTGTTTTCCATTATAATACTACTTTCTAACTTTAAATAATAATTATATGTTAAGTTTTTATATGAACGATAACGCCTCCATAAGTCTCGAATTTTAAACTAATTACAATTGGTAGTGTTTGTGAACGAAAATGATGCAATGTTACGTAGATTACCCTCTTCGTCGCTAATGAAATTTGGGGGAAAAGAAAAACATAATTCTATGAGGACACGGAGCAATGACATAGAAAACAAATAATAGAAAGAGAAGGATTGACTCGCTCGAAACTACACCACAATAAAACCCCAACTAGAACCCAAGTTTTTAAACTCTAGTCCGGTGCGGTATAGGGCAAGTATTTAGATATCAACCCGGGCCGGTCCGTCTACCCCTACTTCGGTTGTTGAAATCATTATCGAGCAACAAAGTTTTGGTTGAAAGGTTTTCTAATTGAAATGAAAGAAAGCAAAGGTAATTTTTTTTGAAAACTCTTTTGTGGAAGGATCACTCGGGTGTCGCTTCCCCCTAACTGTTACCATGATATGTGCATTGGAACGATTGCTTTGGGCACGATAATTGCGAACCGCCGAGGGATGCATATATGGTCAGAGACCACAATCTCAATTGCTAAACCGAGGTAAGCATGAGCGGTCATGTCACTCGACCCTCCTGGCTTAGACAATCGGTAGTTGACTTACTCCCTCACTTGACTCTAACGTCGGACGGTTTAATTGCGATTAACTGATTTGCTTAACTCAATATTGAGGGTTTCCCTAACTTAACCTAGTTTAGGTGGCTAAATAGATTGATAGAACCAACATGTACGAACCTAGGGGTGCTAAGCACAATTATGCACAATCCTTAGGTTGCTAAGCACCTAAATGCACAAACTTAAGGATGCTAAGCAAAAGCATGCACAATCATGATGAATAATGCCTCATTCATTGAATTAAACAATACCCAATGACAATCATCCACTACACATAAAAGAAAACTACATGGTAGAGTTAGGGTTTCACCACACCCAAGGTCTACTCCATGCTAGAAGTGGGAAAAACAAAAGGGAAAGAGGTGGAAACCATCTTGCAGGATGCTCCTAGTCTTCTTGGCCCTTGAGTTGAGCTTTCCTTGGAGGAAATCTTCCCAAATCTGCCTTGAAGCAAAACCCTAGCCTTCTTCTCCCTTGGGTTCGTATTTCTCTCTCTAGAATGTTGAAGAAGGCTTTTCACGCAAAATGGGCTCTGCCTTCTCTCCTCCTTTCAGCTCATCATTTAAACCCGAGACGAGCTGAGTTCACGACCGTGAACCATGAAACGTGTCCGTGAACTTCAGGCGTGCACCAAACGCGCCACATCATTCACTTCTGTTCACAGTCAACTGCCTTCGTTCACGGTCTTAGTGATCGTGAACTCACCTTGCGTAAGTAACCTCCACTTTGGCTTTGGAATCCTCGCGATTCACGGTCCATGGATCTTCTTCACGGTCATGCAGGACCGTGAACTTCCTTTGTTATCCGTGAACTGGCCTTTTTCACCTCTTCTCCCGGTTTTTGATCCTTTTCGCCAATCTTTCGACTCCGAGGCTGGTTTCACCTGTTAAATCCTGAAAGACACTAAAACATTGGAAACCTAGCGTAAAACCAACCTTTTAGGCGTGGATTTGGCACAAACATCTAAGTCAAACAGGGGCAAAACATGTACAATTAGGCCCGAATCAAGGATATAAGTGGGTTGACATAAAATAGGCAAGGACATAGTTGTAACATTTGGACTAAATAATGAGACATTTGAAATGACTCGATAAATTCATTTGGGGCATTCGTATGGACGAAATGACTCATGCGTTTTTTTTTAGCAAATGAGTCATTTGACATCAAATTACTCAATTGAGTCATTTGGTACCAAATAACTCATACGAATGACTCACGCAAACGACCCCCTAGTCTCTCTATACTTCTCCTTTCATATGTCTTCTCTATATTTTTTAAGGGTTTCCAAATTCATTTTTAAGGAGGTTGCCATCGACTTCCCCTTCGGGACTGACAGTGGTCCTCCACCCTACATTTTGTTTTATTAGTCAAACCTTTTTTCGAATTCTTTTTTAGTAGCCAAACCTATCGAAATACTGAAAATTAGTCCAACATTTTGTAACACGTAAAAGTAATAGCCATTAGTCTGTTATCATTAACTATTTCTTAACGGTGCTCCACCTCAGCGTCCAATTCAACTACCACCTCATCAATGAATTTGGGTAAACGCTAATTGTTAGCCAAATCGTTCTCGCATTTTTTTTTATTAGCCAAACCTATTGAATTACTAATAATTGGTCAAATCTTTTGTAATGCATCAAAATATTAGCCATTTTTAAATTATCGTTAATAATTTTGTAACTCTTGTCTTAGTTAAAGTACCAACATTTTCGAATGTTGACCTCCATGTGTCTCTTCCCCGTATATTTTGGTGATTCAGATATGTTAATGCCCTCCTTGGTGAATTGGTTACCTGTGATCCATGTGTTTTCAATGGCAATTGCTCATTGCTCTGAAGTTCGACTCTTATGATTCTGGAGAGCTACTGAAGGGAAATAACCAAGTGATGTAAGGTCCGAAAGAAGTATATGGTTCGGAGTTGGAATTCTCCATCAATCCAACTTACATATAGGTTGTTTTGTGGTGGCCACGATTTCCCAAAGCTTCTTGATGAAGATTGAAAGGGCTTAATCCACTATGGAGTCGGTGCATCACTCAAATTCCCTCACCCAACCTTTTACCAAGCCGCAAGAATTGCTCCAACGAAGGGAGCAATTCAATACAGGATGTTGAAGGCTCAAACTCCAAGAATGAAGAGGTACTTCATCCGACACGGCCATTGAAGATTACCACGACGGACTTATCCATGGAGCGCTTCAATACAGGATACGACTTACATTGGAAAATTATTAGAAAGTATTTGTGCATCTGAATCACCAGGTGATACTTTATGTGGAGGAGAGAAGCTCTATAACGACGAAAAAGTTGTTACCAATCCATGAATCTTATCCATTTACCACATATAACTAACACCGAACAAAAGGCAATTGCAATCTTCATCAAGGTGCCAAATGGTAATCTCAAATTCTCGACAGAAACAGAAAGCAGTTTTGATGTCAAAGCAAAGAGAGGAAGATAACAACATTACAAGATCATACAGGCCTAAACGAACACATGCAAACCGAAGCACAAAAGAGGTAACAGCAAAGCACGGGGATTGATGAGATCCGAAGGAGACTTTTCTTTTATTCAGCTCCTTGGCCAATGTCTCTTACATAGATAGTCCTTAAGAAGAAGCTGTTTTGCCATAGAACCGAATGCCAAAAGCCACACCCAAAATGAGAAGGGGGACTAAGAACTGGAGTAGCTTGAAGAGGAACTCTGAGGTCTTGTCCTGGTTGTAGTGAGGTTGCTTAGGAGCCGTGTAATTGACCTTGGTTGGGATGGTTGAAGAGTCGATTTCCCCAACGTAGAACTCGTCCATCATTGCCTTTGCGCTGGTGCTGTGCCCAACATCTTCAAAATCTTCGGTCGCATCTTTCCCTGGTAGGCAGTAAGAGGTTAATGGGAAGAAGCCAGGAGATGGCAATGATTGGTTTCTAGAAATGGCAATGAACTGAGTTCCATACCTGTTGAGGATAACAAAACCTCATCACCACCAGGATGGTCTTCCAAAAATTTTGTCACATTGTATACCTGTTCCAACGAAATGAAAGTCTCCCTTCAGAATTTACAAACCACATTTCGGCAGAACTTGATCCAGGAATAAACCATTAAATCATCAGACTTGGCATTCCAACCAAATTGGAAAGATCTAATATTACCAGGCACGCAGCATGAAAACAGCATTGACAAGGTAGGTGGACAACTAAAAGCACGTTAAAAAAGCCTACAGAATCCTGAGCACAAAACCTGGAGAATAGAAGATGTGGAGGATGCAATGAGGGTAATAACTAATAATACCAGTGAAGTTTTGAATCCCACGAGCTATTCGGTTTGCTTGGCACTGATGCTATGTGTAATATACAAATGCTTCGACCCCAGGCTATTCAATCCGACGTTACAGAACAAGATCTGTAGGTTAAGTGATTATCTAAAACAGATCCGTCTTCCGGATCACTCAATTCTCATTGTACCAGAAACTGAAACAGATCCTTCTTCCTGATCAAAAAACATGAATCATCGAGCATCCCAGAAACCCAAATCGCATAACGAACCATCCAATAGACGACAAACAAATCATCGGGAAACTTCTTCCCGGATCAAGCAGCAATTAACCACATAAAGCAAGAACAAAAGTCCCGAGGGTTTACGGTCAAAACTCAAATCCACCCCTCTAGTTCTGCCAACCAAAGATTCGCTAAGCAACAAAATTAGATTGGGGAGTGATGGGACAGACCTTGCCCTCGATGACGAGCCAGCAGTCCTTGGCGGTGTTGTGCTCAGAGACCTCGGCCAAAGTGAACACTTTCCGATCGTCGCCGCCCATCTCTTCCCGTCAACCGTTCTTTTCTTCGCCTTTTGGTTAAAAACCCAGGAACTGATTTGACAGAGACAAAGGAAAGGAGCTTTCTTAGATGTTTGCGATCGGGGTTGGTGGTGAAGCGAAGCAGAGTTAAACACGAACGACTCACCAGTCACAAGTGGCTTTAAAGAGATTGGGAGATGCAAAGCTTACAAAATGGTGAAATAGTCGGGCAAAGCCGGGCAGGAAGGGATGGGTTTGGTGAGGTGAAGGTCAGGTTGGCAAATTGCATTAATTACTAATATATATATATTGGGCCGCGGAATGGGGTGGGATTGTGGTCGCCTTGCGCTTTGTGATGACCATTTGGACTTATGGGTTGGAGTCTGGCCGACGGTTGGTGAGAGGTGCCTGCAAGGCTGGCAACTAAGACATTGTCACCAACCCTCACACCAACTTTACTTTTCTTATTTTTAGGTTTGCTTATTTATTGACGTTTGAGAATTAGGGTAGACATATCATTTAAATTTGAATATGACGTCGGGTACCACTAAACTCTATTATATGTGCACCCGGTACCATTTAAGTTTACCGTTATATGCATTGCGTTAAAGTTGACAGAATATTCTGGGAATATTCCATTTTCTAAATTTCATAATTGGTCCTTCTAATTTTTTATAGTAAAAAAACCATTTGGACTTATGGAAAACATAATTTTTTATTGTTTACTTGGAATCCTCTTTTAAATACTTGATAGCAAATCAATTTTTCAATAGAAAATGTATAATCAATTATCATTATGTGTTCTTATAATTGAATAATTTTCTCAAGCAAATATATTTTATGAATTCTATTTCGATATAAATAATCTGAGAATATATATTTAGTTCCCTTACATCAGAGTGATGTTGTCTAATTTTCCATGTTAAATTTTCTTTTAATTCTCTAATATTATATTTGTAGATGTTTCATATTAGTTCAATTTAGTAATTCTAATTCTCTTCCTATAATCATATTTTATTTTCTATATTTTTTATTGAATGTTGTATCTTTTATAGTTCATTTATTACTTGATTATTTTCTGTCTCTTTTCGTTCTAAATATTTTTTTTAATTACTGGAATATGTTTTATTCCTTATGATTGCGTTCTATTTATCTTTCTTTGGTTTTGATGTATTGATGATCTATTAGATTCTCTTTTAACTATTTCTAATGGTGCTTCGAATTGAATTAGAGTATTTAAATATTGATTTTAAATATTGATTATTATATTCTAGTGTACTTATTATTTTTCTTTTGTTCATTTAATATTTCTACTAATTTATTTATTTTATGAAAAAATTTGATTAGCCGTTTTAGTAATAATATGTTTAGAAGGTTTTCTAATTTTTATATTAGATAAAACTTGTTGAAATATAGTTTTAAATGTTCTTAAAATTTTTGGGTACCAAAAAGTAATTAAAAGTTTGGGCTGGATGGAAAAGTAAACGGATGCACATTTTGTCAAATTTAAAGGTACCTGACGCCCTATTCAAACTTAAGTAGTATGTCTACCCCAATTTTCAAACTTAAGTTGTACCCGAGGTATTTTATCCCTTATTCATTCCTAGTAGACCTTGAGTCGAATTTAACTGGTAGGTAATTAGGTTCGTATTTCTTCCCGACCAAATATGTTGTTTTACTCAGTAAGTATAGGACCTACTATTTGGGTTTGTAAAACAAATGTGAAGTGCCTCCTTACCTGGTTCAAAGTTTTAAAGGAAAAAAAAAGACAAAACTACACTACTAGACTAGGAAAAACAATAGAAAAGTGTTGCATAGGCAAACTCCCTCTAAAATTTTCTTAGACTCACTTTGTTATGAAACTGGTCATCACATATGTGGTTGAGTTATGATTTGAGTTAGAGAATCTTAACCATTGGTTATTATTTTTAGATTTAAGTGATGATTTGAGTTAGAGAATTAGGGACTGGAGTTCACCCATTGAAAGTTAGGGTAAAGTATCACGCCCAAAACCCTGGCTAATTCATGCTCTAAATCGAAAAATTTGATGGGCATATGATAAGGTTAGCGTACATTAGACATACGCTAGGCTGAAACATTTATATAACAAAGAATCAAACGTTACATCGTCTAAGAAACTTCTAGGGTTTGAAAGCGAACTAGTCACTCGGACAGGAATTAGGGAAAACATCAATCAATACGAGATTCCAAAAGTTCTGACAAACGGCGTCTAGAAAGAAAAATGGCGTCTATGATTATATTTTTTTATCGTTGCGCCCTCGAGTTTTCTGATCGTTTAATCCAGTGAGTTTCTCTCTCGACATAGTAACTCCTATATAACTTATCTATCGAATGAAGGTTGATAGTTTCTATTTATAGGCTCTTCTACTAGGTTTTCTCGGAGAAAAAGCTAGAGTAAAACTCGTTGGCCGGACCCTTTGCACTTTGGCTTATCTTCTAGCTTAGTCTACAAGTAAAGTATTTCCACACATTTTTAGGCTGATAAGGAACTCTCCAAAACTTGTCCCTAGGCCGCCATTGTGGACTTGTGTCGACCAAATTCCACACCTATTTTGTGATTCACTCATATCTCTGTTTCTGACTTTCAGTATCTAGGTCGTGATGTCTCCCACTCATACAAGGTGGTCCACTATGATAATTTTGTCTGAAAGCACACAAAATACTACCAAAAGTGCGTCAAAATAGTAAAGGTGATCATAGAAACTTCTAAACTCACCTTGAGCATTTATTTAGTAAATCCACATTAATATGACAATAAATATATGAAAATGGTGTAAAACAAGCCACTAAATAGGGGTATGAAATAGTATAATTTGTGTGTCGTCAAGTTACCCCACACTTGAACTTTGCTTGTCCCAGGCAAATGTAATCTCAACACCCTTCTCCTCACTAGATCTCCAAGATGACACGTGACTTCCTATCTTTGCAACGATGCTCAAAACGTACTTTATAAGGATGAAATTATTCGTCTCTCACAAGATGGTGTTATCTTTTTCTTCTTATAGTCTTCTTTTACAAAAATTGGGCTGATGCTTGCGTAGCTTGATTAGGCAGTATTTGCATTCCTACCCACGTTAGTCTTTTGAATCATTTTCGAATTAAGATGATCTTGCCATGCGTCTCACACTTTTTGTGCTAAGCTATGCTCAGAAAGGTGTTTATTTTGCCTCGTACTTTGGAACTTGGCGAGCTTTTATCGAGCAAGATCACTTTTTAGCTCCTTTTCCTTGATCATATGAAGGTTCAATGAAGACAAGACGTGTCGAAAGCTTTATTCGTGCCCTTAAAAACACATCCTCAAGTTGCCAATTCTATCATACGGGTGGAAATTTTACTTGTACTAGAGAGAAACTAGGGTCATCACATAGGCTTCCCCCACCAAGACTCAACTAGATCTCTTCCAAAACCAGGATTTTTCTTGTGATAGTACGCCTCACATGGATTTTTACCCCACACTTTATTTGCATCAGCATCGTCAATTGATGTAGACTTGACATGGTAGGATATCGAATGTATGAAGCTACATATCGACCCACTTGCTTTGACATTGTTATATGTGTCGTGAAGATGTAGCGCATTGGGGATGATTTGTTAGGATAGTCGTCTAGCTTTTGACCTCTAGTAAGTGGCCAAGATTGAGCCAACATTTGGGTCCAAGCTCTATAGTTGTTGTTCATACGATTATCAGAGCTCTTATAGGTGGCCATTGTGTACGGAGGCTGATTATATTGGTAGCTACTACGATCGAAATCATGATTTTAAGGGTCGCGAGTACAAAAATAGTCGACTTCTATTGTTCGGAATTCGCCTATGATCCCACAGTTACACCCATCTTGATTGACTCGTCCCGAATATCACAATTAATTCCCGCCTAAGGTCCAAGTATAAACCTTAGTCGAGTGCAATACAGGGCAAGTATGTTTAAATATCGACTCGGGCCGATCCGTATACCCCTCTTCAGTCATTTGAATAATTATCTAGCGAATCGGTTTGGTTTAAAAGTTTGCTAATTAAAGTAAAGCAAGGCAAAAGTAAATGGTTTTGAAAGCTCTTTGTGAGAAGGATCACCCGGGTGTTGCTTCCCCCCTAACTACTACCATGGTATGTGAATCAAAATGATTGTTATGGGAAAGGTGACCGCGAACCGGTAGGGAACGCAAATATGGTCGTCGACCACAATCCCGATTGCCAAACCGAGGGATACATTATAGGTTGTCACTCGGCCCTCGCGGTTTAGGCAATCGATGGTTGACTTACTCACTCACCCAACCCAATGGTTGGTCGGCTTAATCGCGCCTAACCAAATTGCTTAATCCAACATCGAGGTTTGCCCTAAATTAACCTAGATAGGTGACTTAGAAAGCCCTAGGAATACCAACTCAATTGAGCCTCCCTTGAAAGCGGGTTTTCACTCTCTAGTCTAGGTTAAATTTGCCAATTAGATTTCTAAGCAATAACATCCACAATAAACATGAATAATACCTCAATCATTGAATTAAACAACACCCATAAACAATCATTCAATTCACATAACAAAAACTACATGGTAAATAGTTAGGGTTTCACAACACCCAAGTGAAAAAGGAATCTACTCCATGCTAGAAATGAGAGAAACACAAGGGGAAGAGGTAGAAACCATCATGGAAAGGCTTCCAAACTTCTTGGCACTTGTGCTGAACTTCTCTTGATGAGAATCTTCCCAAAAAACCACTTGGAGCAAAACCCTAGTCTTACTTCTCCTTTAGTTCGTCTTTCGCTCTCTAAAATCTGAAGAAGAAGAATTCCTCACTCTTTGGGCTCTCCCTCTTTTTTTCCATCTCTCCTCTTAAACAGGGATCGGGCTCAGTTCACGGCCGTGAACTCTTGAACGCGTCCGTGAACTCAAGGTTGGCGTCGAAACGCACCGCTTCGCTTGCACGGGTTCATGGGCAACAGCTCCAGTTCACGGTCTTAGTGACCGTGAACTCACCTCGTGTCAGTAACTTAGGATTTGGCCCTGG